TGCTTGCATTGTTGCTTAGAGTGGTCAGAACACTCTGCATTTTGTCAGCGTCTTCACCAAATAAAGCTACGTCATCAGCATATTATAAGTCAACAAGTGAACCTCCCGGTAGAAGTTCAACCCCTGGAAATATAGACGAGGAAAGTGTTATCTCTAAAAGTACGTCGACCACAAAGGTGTACTACGAATGTATTTCCCTAGCATTTCTAAGTCATGCGCGAGTCTAGTTTTCGGATCAGGGTCGTTCGACTCCCGCAATTTGCTCACAATAATATTCGATGTTACTAGATTTTACTTCTCAGTCACGCCAGGATGGGTTTCACTCTTACCATCAGATCTTGGTTGTGCAATTTGTGTCTCACAATTTGAGTTCACCAGTGAGTTACTATCTACCTGTGTACTGTTTACAGCACTTTTCTTTTCGTTTCGTTACTTACGTACCGTAGTCCACTTTTCATCTCTCATAACACTGGGACTATTTGGAACGGTGACTGTTTTATGCAGATCTTCGGTTCCCGCTAAAGGTGCATTATTAACAATGTCAGTACCAGGTGGTATTACTCTCCCTGGTAATGTCGACGGAGATTTCACTTTTACGTCGATTGTTTGAGACGTCGCGTAACCGCAGGTACTACCCTGACACATTTGTCACTGTCAGTGCCCGTGTTGTCAGCGCATATGCCATCGTTCTTCTTACAGGCCAAAGCCAATAGGCTCATAGACTCCTGTATTAGTAATGCCTTGTTGGCACAGCAAAACATGCAAAGCCAATGTGAGCTAGGCTTCTAACATCTTTTGTATGCGGTGGGACTTAAACGGGTGCGCATTTTGTGGAACCACTTATTGCATTCGTCACACTGCGTTCCCTCCTCCACAGGGAACAAACGGTTTGGTTGTCCACATTTGTGAGTACTACCAACCATTTTAGTCAGATCAAGGTGTAACACACAATATGATCACAGTATGAACACAAATGTCAGTCAACGAATAAAAGGTTACCACAAGACAAAACCTAAATTTGTAGATTTGTCATGACATAACTGCCTAATCTATAAGATCTTACGTGGAAGTCACACCATCGACTACACCAACTCACTGTATCGTATTAATTACGAATACATGATGTAGAACAAGGTTGGGCTAGAGAAAGAACAACGTATTTAATATGAATAGAAGATATACGGTAACATTCAGCAGAGACCACGCCTGCATGGCCAAGCCATACCATTCGATTAACTCCAACTCATTCAATTCCTTGTTCGCGCCTTTCTCCGCGTTAAATATTGAATATCTATTTTCTGAGTAGTCTCGTGTTCACAGCTTTGTGGATTGTGTGGCTATTGTCCAATGCCACTACAGAATCTTTCAGAAATTGCAAGAATCCCTGCAATTTTTTAAACTCAAAATCGACCAACAAGAAAAACAACTCGGGAATTTTCCAAGCCGGCACGCGTTAACGGCAACCGCAGCCGGGGAACATAGTCGTCTGTTGTACGTCACGGATGTGACAACGAGAGTTCGCCACCTCGTCGACACTGGCCAAGAAGTTAGCGTTCTCCCAGCGAATTCTAACAAACGGCTTCACGAATCGGTTTTAAACTTACAGGAACAAACGGAAGACCTATTGTAGTGAACAGAACACGAGTGGAGACAATCAAATGCATTTAGCACAAAAATTACAGACTATCTCAATTAAATCTGAATACCATAAAGTCAATCGTCAATTTGCAAAATATCAATGCATCATATCAAACTGGACTGTTTCCGTTGCAAACACTAATCCATTGTCTCCCATTCCATTGTACATGCGTTTTCTTACAAATTCCATTGTGCTCTCGCTCTTCCTTTCTTGATCTTCACCTCATCGTCTGCTGCGAGATATTACGTTTTAACTCGCGACATATACTACTTACATCAATATAAGTAGCACACACCACACTATCGCTACGTATGACAAAAGATACGTTTACCTTAACGTGAGTATACGCAAACCCATTCACTGGATCTTCGTGGTTGCAGATGTTTCTATGCCAATCATTGGTATGGGCATTCTACGACACCATAATATAATCATCGATACGCGCAAACGGAGGCTAGTAGACGGAAACACTAATTTATCTGTTTGCGTAAATGCTTTTTCTGGTTGCAGATTATCTCCAGTCACAATTGAGCATACGACAGACCCATTTTATCAACCGCTACTCTATAAGTATCCTGGGATACACCAAACGCAACCGAAATTGCCGTGTGTTATCAGCAACCTCATGCATCACATCACGACTACAGGACCACCTGCATTCTCTAAAGCACGACGACTAGCCCCCGAAAAACTAAGGTTGGTGAAAAACGACTTAGGTATAATACGACCATGGGCATCTCCGTTGCTCATGGTCCCTAAAAAGGACATCAACGATTGGCGCCCAACTGGTGACTATCGGCGATTGAGTGCGAAAACCATTCCTGATCGTTACCCGTTTCCTCACGTTCACGATTTGACAGCTACCTTGAAAGATAGAACTATCTTTTCGAAAATCGAATTGGTAAAAGCGTATAACCAAATTCCCATGGCCACTGACGACATTCTGAAAACAGCTAGCATAACTCCCTTCGAACTCTGTGAATTCTTGCGAATGCCTTTCGGTCTAAGAAACGCTGCACAAACTTTCCAAAGGTTCATAGACGACGTTTTTCGAGGTCTCAACTTCGTACATGCGTATGTTGACGACTGTCTGATAGAAAGTCAGGACAGAGAATCTCATCTCAAGCATTTCTATCTTGTTTTCGAACGACTACAAAAACATGATATTAATGTAAACATTCAGAAATGCCAAATCGTAACTGACTCTTTAGACTTCCAAGAACACACTATAGATGCGCAAGGCATCCGACCCCTTAGAACAAAAGTGGCGGCCATTCAGGAAAACCCAGAACCGATCACCACCAAGCAATTACGCACGTTTAATGGCCTCGTAAGTTTCTATAGACGATCCATACCGAAACGCGTGTTACTTATGAAACCTCTTATTGACCAACTTCGTAGAAATGTGAAATTCATTGATCTAGATAAACTGCGCGAAAAGCATTCTCCACAATTAAGGAACTTATCACTAAAGCAACGATGATTGGAAATCAGGACACCGAAGCGCCAACTAGTATCGCAGTAGACGCATACGACTCAGCAATCGGAGGGGTCTTACATCAATGTGTTAAACACTCCTGGCAACCTTTGTCATTTTTCTCTAGACGGTTGCTAAACACTGAATCGAGGTACAGCACATTCGGTAGAGACCTCCTAGCTATGCACTGTGCTGTACGAAATTTTCAACACTATATCGAAGGCCGCGAATTTACCCTTTTCACTGACCACAAACCGCTCACCTTTTCATTAAGTTCTTCCTCTGACAAGTACTCACCATGTGAGTCACGACAACTGGTTTACATTTCGCAGTTTACTTCAGACATCCAACACATTTCTGGAGCAAACAATGTAGTTGCAGACGCTTTGTCTCGCATAACTTCCTTCAACGGTTTCCAAGGAATCGACCTTCTTAAACTCGCCCAGCTTCAAAAAGAAGACAGTGATCTTCAGCACGAGTTATCGTCTACAACCCTCAAACTACGCATCATACAGATGGGAACAGGTAAGGAAACCTTACTTTGTGACACATCTACATGTAGTGATCGCCCAATCGTGACGCAACATTATCGACGCAACGTCTTCAATACGTTACACAAACTTCCTCATCCAAGTATTCGTGCACTCGTCAAGCTTATAGCAGAACGGTTTTGCTGGCCTGGCATGAATAAAGACGTGAGGAAGTCGGCACGCTCCCGTGAAAGCTGCCAAAAATCTAAGGTTATCAGACACAAGTAAAGTCCCTTAGGCTCTTTCAAAACTCCGGACGCTCGTTTCGACCATGTTCATCTGGATTTGCTAGGACCTTTACCAGATTCAAATGGATACTCTTATCTCTTAACCTGCGTTGACTGTTTCACTCGATGGCCAGAAGCAGTGCCTGTCAAGGATATCACTGCTGAAACAGTGGCTCGCGCCTTCGTCGAACGATGGGTAGCAAACTTTGGTTGCCCTTCAACTATCACTACAGACCGCGGACGTCGGTTTGAATCTGAACTTTTCCGTCGTCTGACCACACTTTTAGGAATTACTCACTTCCGAACGACCGCCTACCACCCACAAGCAAATGGGTTAGTAGAGCGCTTTCACCGACAGCTAAAAGCTCCGCCATCAGCTGCAAACGTCTCACAGTGGACCGATGCTCTCTCATTCGTTTTACCAGGTATCCGCAATGCAGTGAAAGGTGACATTGGATACACTGCGGCTCAACTCGTTTATGGAACGACACTTCGAATTTCAGGAGAATTCGTGGATCCTTAATCCTCTTCAATGAACATGGATCTAACCTCCTACACAAACAGGCTTACAATTCCAATGAGTTCAGTTAAACCTGCTCCCACTCGACCTCAATCAACTGATTTTTTCGTTCAACCTGACTTACGATATAGTACACACGTTTTCGTTCGTCGAGACTCGCATCGACGACCATTCGAATCAGCATATGAGGGACCTTTCAAAGTTCTTCAACGTGAATCTAAGTACTATATAGTAGATAAGAACGGAACAAACGATAGCATCAGCATCGATCGCCTCAAAGCAGCGTATTTAGAAGGAAATCCTATATACGTCGATTTTCCTTCGGTACAATCGAACGACATGGTTCCGACACTTATAACACCTCATCCGACAGCCAAAATGCACGATGATACTTCGACAGTATCTGAAAATAAACTTAGAACAACGCGTTCTGGAAGAAGAGTAAGATTTCCAGAACATTTAAACGACTATTGCAAGTAAGACACCAGTTAACATTTTACTTCATCTCGATTTTCCATGGTGTTGCACATAATATAAAATAATCAATTTTCATATGTTTATATTGATATTTATTTGTAATTTTACTAATGTGTATATTAATGAAATATGAAATACTGAAGACTGAATGTCACATGTTTTAAGACAGTGCGTTACTACGCATGACTTTGAGTATTTCTTCAAGAAATATGAGTTTATGGTCTTCGTTGGAAGAAGCATATGATAACTTAGATCTTTCAGAAAGTGATGGAGAATGTAACAACTCTTCAAAGTTATATATGCAAAAATTTCAAAGCAAAGTCGATTTTTCAATGAAAAATGAAAGGAAGTTAAAAGATAAGAGCGACAAGGCAACGACTGATCATGCTCTAGACAGAAGATCGTGCTCCATACTATTCAAAATGATGAACCAGGAAATATTTAGTGAAGTCAATGGGTGTATTAGTACAGGTAAGTCTCTTGTCTAGAGCAGTTAGGATAGTAGGTCTAACGACTTATATTAATCCTTACAGTTTGTAACACTTTGGCGCTACGATCTCGTCTTGAATATATCGACAGAAGGTGCTTATATTTTGTGTTCTGGCAAATAATTACGGTAACTAGGCATCGCGCTCTATTTAAAAAGACAGTGGTATTGTTTCTCGTTGAGTTAATTAACAGTTTTGATCGTAAATTACGCATCGCAACTACTGTTTACACTTTAATTGCAGTTAAAGTGATATTGTATTGAGTGTTTCGATTTCGCTTTTGTGTATTTACTGCGTCGAAGCATAGTTGGTCGACTCGATTTAGTCTTCAGTAATAAGGATAGTAGGTTGATGAACCTGCATTAATCCTGACACACTGCTTTCCAGTGAAGGTCCAGTTTCTCCTTGAAGGTATTCACTGATGGGTCTGATACCACTTGTTCGGGTAAGGCGTTCCAATGATTGACTACTCGATGAGAAAAACGGGACACCACTTTAAGTTTATTAGATCGTGGTTTATGAACCTTCTTGCTATGACCTCGGAGATTATTAGTGCTGTAGGGAGCAAAAAGACAAGACATATTAACACCCAAATCATAATTGAAGATACGAAATGCCAGTATAAGGTCACCTCGTGTCCTACGATACGACAAGAGGAAAAGATTTAGGCGTTTTAAACGCTCATCGTAAGAGAGTCTAGAAAGACCCCTCACTAATTTCGTTCCTACATGCTGGACACGCTCAAGGGAGTTAGTATCCTTTACCAGACACGGGCTAGCTGCTTGGATACAGTACTCTAAATGTGGTCTTACATAGGTGGGATATAAAATTCGGAACGTTTCCTCGTCAAAAGATTTGAACGCTCGGCGAAGAGACCATAACGCACGAAAACCTTTGACAGCGGCTGCTTTGCAATGCGTAGTTGTTTTTAAATCATGACTTAATACTACTCCTAAGTCTTTATGCTCTTGAACGCTTGGAATAGGTTTACCCTCAATAGTGTAACGGTAACTATTACCGTGACCGATGTGCATTAGCACACTCTTCCTAGCATTGATTTCTAAGCCCCACTCTCGAGCCCATCTAACTAAATCGTCTAAGTCAGCTTGAAGATCCAGATGATCAACCGCACTTTTTATTGTTCTCCAGATTTTTACATCATCCGCAAACAATAATGTCGACGACCTAAGTAACAGCGGTAACTCATTAACGTGGAGAAGGAAGAGCAGAGAGCCTGAGATGGTGCCTTGGGGTACACCATTTTTGATCGGCTTCCAATCGGATAGCGTTCCGTTGACCCTCACTCTCTGTCTGCGGTCACATAAGAAATTTCCTATCCACTCATGCACAGTACCTATTATTCCGAAGCTCGTGAGCTTCTGCATAAGACCTACGTGTGAAACCTTGTCGAATGCCTTGCTAAAATTTATGAATATCACATCAACAGACAGACCGTTATCTATAGCTGCTGTCCAATCCTCCCTCTCAATAAGCAAGTTAGTCAAGCATGAACGCTTGTTACGAAATCCGTGTTGCTCAGGAGCTAACAAATTGTGTAAATCTATGTGGCTTAGCAACCTAACCCGAATTATCTTTTCAAGTAACTTAACGACTATGCTAGTTAGACTAACAGGCCGGTAGTTAGATACTATCTGTCTCTGACCGTCCTAAATTTATAGGACTGACTATAGCTTCCTTCCAATCTCTAAGGAGTTGAGCGAGTGGAAAGGACATGTTGAAGAGTGTCGCAAGCGGTTTTGAAATAATGTCCGCAAGAGATGACAGCAACCGTGAATGTAACCCGTCAGGGTCCGGTGTCTTACCAGGTTTGAGGTTAGTTATCAACGGAAGGACAGTTTCCTCAGTCACCTGTACAGATTCCATGGTTGGTATCTCAGTGTGAGTGGGACACGTATTTGTTACAATAAACGTAGAGAAGACTTCGCTAAAATAGTTAGAAAAAGTTTCAGCTTTTGCTCGATCTGATTCAGCTAGTAATTCTGAATTTTCGTGTAACAGTAACGGGGGAATACCATCACGACGTTTCGTCCGCCGTTTAACATACGAAAACAATCGTTTCGGACAAGTACGACTATCACATACTAACTGTCGTTCGTAAGTGGTACGGGATTTGGCTATGGTTTTCTTACAGATATTATGGAATTTTTGGTACTCACGCTTAAATTGTGCATGACCTGTCAAAAAGAATAAGTCCCAGAAATGTTTCCTACGCTTTGACAGCTTCCGGGTTTCCTTATTAATCCATGGAGGGCAATGTGATAGCTTACGTGCTGACTATGGGATAAATGGCGACGTTACGGACTCGAATGTAGCCTTAAACTTATTCCATTCATCTTCGATCATTCCATCCGCGTCGACCGACCAATCAGTCGAGATAGCACAGTCTCTGATTGCCGGAATATTGGCTCGCCAGATATTGGGACGGGGTGGAGCAAATACGAATTGTATACCATGTGTCCTAAACTTAAAGTGAATTACAACGTGATCACTGTTCACTAGTGGGGGAAGGTGCTGAATATCAAAGACATCCTCACAGTGGTGGGTGAGGGCGAGGTCCAGCAGTGATGGATCATGATTGAAATCAATATGTGTCGGTTTTGTGATACATTGTACAAGTGCACACTGAATAACGGTAGATAAAAGGTCGCTATCGAAACCACTACCTGGAGCTGTAAGCTCTATCCAGTTAATATGCGGTGCGTTGAAGTCCCCAATGATGAGACAACATTCTGCCATACTCCAAGAACAGATGTGTCTTAGGATAAAGTCGTCAGCAAGACAAAACGGACTACGGTATATTCCCCCTATAGTCACTAACTCATTTCTAGATTTAATCTTACAACATGCAACCTTACATGTGCCACTGATATGAGCCTCCGATATGGTTGATTGTATACGAAAGTGATCCCTAACGTAAAATATTATACCTCCCCCTTTGCGACTTGAAACTCTATCACTTCTAATACAGATATAGCCTGCAATGAACGGAGAACAGTCTATATCTACTGTGAACCAAGTTTCTGTAACAACAATTATATCGGGACATAATTCTTCCACCATCAGACTTAGCTTGGACGTTTTATTTCTGAGACTACGAGCGTTCGTGTAGCACACACTTAAGGTGTTTTGGCAATCAATCGTTCTACCCATACAGGCCTCGGAAGCATTGGCTTCCAAGACCTGACTACCCGAAAACCCTTAATGGTAAGGTTAGGTTCGCCATTTAACTTGAGAGTTCTCAACTCCGTAAGAGTATTCTTTCACTTGATTCGATCCTCAAGCGGCCAATCTGGTCGGATACGGATATTTGAGTCACGAGTTTTTAGTGCGTTTTTCAATAATATGTCTCTTTCCTCAAAACTCCCGAGAACCAGCTTCAGGATTCTTCTTGGTTGAGTCTCGCCTCCAACCCATTTACCAAGTCGTATTACTTTTTTAATATGTACCCCTGAAACCTCTTCAGATAGTACATTTCTTACCACAGACTCCACTAACTGCAGGTCATGTGCATGTCTTCTAGCAGGGTCGTTGTCTTTCGACTCCTCTAGATTCCAAATAATTAAACTAGGGAGGGGTTTAGCTTCTTTTGAAACTGTGTTCACAGCTTTCGACCGTGACGTTAGATCCCGTATTTTAACTACTGGCATCTTACGATTAGTTTTTATTGTAACAGAGATTGCGTTAGTGTCGTAAGTGCTGTCACGGCGCAAGCCAGACATCTACCTGTAGTTAAAATACGGGATCTAACGTCACGGTCGAAAGCTGTGAACACAGTTTCAAAAGAAGCTAAACCCCTCCCTAGTTTAATTATTTGGAATCTAGAGGAGTCGAAAGACAACGACCCTGCTAGAAGACATGCACATGACCTGCAGTTAGTGGAGTCTGTGGTAAGAAATGTACTATCTGAAGAGGTTTCAGGGGTACATATTAAAAAAGTAATACGACTTGGTAAATGGGTTGGAGGCGAGACTCAACCAAGAAGAATCCTGAAGCTGGTTCTCGGGAGTTTTGAGGAAAGAGACATATTATTGAAAAACGCACTAAAAACTCGTGACTCAAATATCCGTATCCGACCAGATTGGCCGCTTGAGGATCGAATCAAGTGAAAGAATACTCTTACGGAGTTGAGAACTCTCAAGTTAAATGGCGAACCTAACCTTACCATTAAGGGTTTTCGGGTAGTCAGGTCTTGGAAGCCAATGCTTCCGAGGCCTGTATGGGTAGAACGATTGATTGCCAAAACACCTTAAGTGTGTGCTACACGAACGCTCGTAGTCTCAGAAATAAAACGTCCAAGCTAAGTCTGATGGTGGAAGAATTATGTCCCGATATAATTGTTGTTACAGAAACTTGGTTCACAGTAGATATAGACTGTTCTCCGTTCATTGCAGGCTATATCTGTATTAGAAGTGATAGAGTTTCAAGTCGCAAAGGGGGAGGTATAATATTTTACGTTAGGGATCACTTTCGTATACAATCAACCATATCGGAGGCTCATATCAGTGGCACATGTAAGGTTGCATGTTGTAAGATTAAATCTAGAAATGAGTTAGTGACTATAGGGGGAATATACCGTAGTCCGTTTTGTCTTGCTGACGACTTTATCCTAAGACACATCTGTTCTTGGAGTATGGCAGAATGTTGTCTCATCATTGGGGACTTCAACGCACCGCATATTAACTGGATAGAGCTTACAGCTCCAGGTAGTGGTTTCGATAGCGACCTTTTATCTACCGTTATTCAGTGTGCACTTGTACAATGTATCACAAAACCGACACATATTGATTTCAATCATGATCCATCACTGCTGGACCTCGCCCTCACCCACCACTGTGAGGATGTCTTTGATATTCAGCACCTTCCCCCACTAGTGAACAGTGATCACGTTGTAATTCACTTTAAGTTTAGGACACATGGTATACAATTCGTATTTGCTCCACCCCGTCCCAATATCTGGCGAGC